CGGCCGACAGCAGGCAGCAGTGAGCGTCGGCAGGAGGCGATGTGGGGGAGTGGGAGGCAACGGGCGCAGCTGCAGGAGACGGGCGGTAGCAGGAGGCGACCGGGATGACAGCCAGCTGCAGGAGGCAATCGAAGGGGCGACGGCCATTGGCAGCAGGCGATGGGTGGCGTGCCTCGGCAGGCGGGAATAGCGATGGCCTAGATAGCGGGAGATATCATTGTTGTACTAACCGTCCCAGGGAAATTCGGAGTTATTTTATTTCATTCATGTGGTTTCCGGCTTTAAACACGGGTCTGTATTTCAACATTTCATAGTACTTCATACGTGTACTAACGCAGCTCCGCATGTTGTTTCTTTTCAAGGCCTCCAAAATCAGCCTACCATCTGTGTTGTTCGCATGATGGACAGCCCAGATCACAGGACGATGACTAAAAAATTACATCATCCGGGCTCACGATCGGCCCAAACTGTGGCCGATCATAACTTTTCTGATTGGTCCGTGATCTGCTTTGTTCGCAAAAACGGTGACGATTAGCAGTTTCTAAACTTTCTACAGTGAGAAGTTGAGAACCACAATCAGCATCGTTCAATGATCAATTCTGTTTCCGAGGCAAAGCATTCAGATTGTGGTGGCAGGGTATTTACTATTTATAATTTTATAATAATTTCAAGTTTCGATCCACGGTAATCTTGTAATTGCAGGATGACTGGCTATCACGTTATCCTATCATTGAAGAATCCAGTCAATCCTGCAGATTGCGGGGTTGGTTAACCAGTAGCCCAACCTCTCTCTCTCTCTCTCTCTCTCTCTCTCTCTCTCTCTCTCTCTCTCTCTCTCTCTCTCTCTCTCTCCAATAAGGAGGAAGGGATGCGCTGCGGGGAAGGAAGGAGTTGAGCATCATCCGCTGATTTTGAAGTGAGGATGTGTTGGGGGACGAGAGAGAAATGTTAACCTGACAATTTAGGGGGAGAGGGAAACGAAGGCAAGGAAACCTCCTTCCCAGCGAACAGCACAAGGACAGACATGTGGTTACGGGCAGCCTTCACCACCCAACCTTGGGGATATGGAGTGGGTTCAAATTGGGCTGCTGAAGAAACCAATACAAATCGTCCAGGTTCATGGTTGTCCTTTTCCTGCAAAACAGATGTTCATGTGTACCACTGCTCAGTAAATCATAAAAGCCAGAAGCACAAACCCTGCAATGTAAAAACAAAAAGGACAACCATGAACCTGGACGGGCCTACCTCAGTCGGTACACCCATAAATCCAAATGCAATCGGATGAACAAAACACAATAAGTCCGAATTGCCTGGGGCCGATCAGTTAAATAACGATATCTCAAGGTCGTCGCCCTTATAAATAAAAAAAAGAAAGGAAAATTAAAGGAAAGAAAGTGCCGACGAATAGGCGTGACGCCATCACACAGATGCTTAATTCATTGTCAGGAGGCAGTGGAAGCATTTTTTCTGGAGGAGGAGGAGACGATGATGAAACCATCATCACCAGAACAAGATGAGCAGAAATCATCCATTAAATCAACCGTCATGGGGCGATGACCATCTCACGTCCTATGGCGTTTATAGGTAAACGGGTCACACTAAGGTTGCGTTATCCTATGATGTGATTGCCATATATTTAGCCTTCAAACTTCAAAGTTTATTATGTTTATAACCACAAATCAAAATAGAACAGCAATAGCTCCTACATAAGCAACTGACAAAATGATAGCAAAACAATCAAGACCTGATAACACACAATGTGGTATATAGATCCACACAAGATGGCCAAAGCCTTCCAAACCGGCGACCTTGGCCTCAGAAGCCAAGTCTCTTAACCACTACAGCCAGGACACGGTGTTCAAAAGTGGAACCATACCGGTCGTGATATCCACCCCACCCCTGCAAGGCTGTAGTGTCCAATGCAACCCACACCACACGGACACATCCCACGGACGCGGCAATTCTCGCTCACTCCGCTCCGCTGCAGAGGACCCCTTCCACACAAGACGAGTGGAAACGTAGAAAGTATCTGTCAAATCAACTTTAAAAAAAATAATTAAAAAAATCTTCAATGCTTTATTAGGGGGCTTGCAGGACTGTGTGACTGTGTTACTTCTGGGATGGGGCGAAGGAGGTCGGTTGTGAGAGGAGAGCGCCACGCTGGCAGAAGGCCACTCTTTGTTTTCCCCTTGTTATAATCAAAAAAGCGTGGCCAGTTTTGTTCTGTTCATTTGTTTGCATCTGGATTCGAACTCGGGTCTGCACTTCAACAGTTCAAGGGTGTACCAACTGAGCTTGAACAAAAAAAAAAAAAAAAAAAAGAGCTGTGTGGCCGGTTATGCAATATTCCTTCGACCATGGGAAGCCCAGGAAGTAATCCAAGGGCTGGGGAGAGTGGAGGTAAGCTAAACCACCACTAGTCTCGGACCTTCCAGATAACCTGCCCCCACGGATACCCTAGGGCAACTGGACCAAAAAGTCCGGTGGCACGGGGGGGGGGGGTCCCATGCACCACCAATTGGGAATTTCGGGGGTGGACAAAATCACTCGTTGGAAAACAGAGGCTTCGGAATACTGTTGGTTCAAACCTCTCTCTCTCTCTCTCTCTCTCTCTCTCTCTCTCTCTCTCTCTCTCTCTCTCT